TCTGACTGGATGATCTGGGTGAACTGGATCTGTAAAGTTCCTTGAGATGACATTTGTTGTGAATAGCAATAGACTGAATAGAATTGGTGTTGATGATGAAGGATGGAGAATAATCTGGAATAAAATTTCTCCCTCATAAAACGGATCGGATCCAGTGAATCTGTCCACGTTTGTAGTTTTATCTCCAAATGAAACATATGATCTAAAGTTCCCACTTCAACCCATCAGCCGCGCGGCGCTGAAAGATGAAGGAGGCGCTTGTCTTCGCTGGGCTGTCATCAACTTTCCTCTGCCTCTCGGAGCGATTAAGGCGTCTGCATACCTGCCTCACCTGTCTGCTGCGCTTCCTGCCTCTTTAAGAGGATTCCTGTTTCCTTCAGGGTTTATCTGATCCTGACCTGCAGATCAGCTGCTCAGAAGTCAGTTTAGGAGTCGTATTTGATCCGTGTGTGTTTTTAGAAGCCTGTAAAGCAGCAGCAGGTGCGTTTGACGCCTTTGAGCTCCTCACTGACGGATGTTTGTGTAGGAATGTGGGCAGAGCCACGATTATCCCGCTAATCCCTGAACAGAACAGGGATGATCCCCGTCCTTCACGCCTCTGGACACTAAGCTGTCTGTGTAGCGTTTTCTGATCCGTGGGCTCATTCGGTCACAAGATGCTGGTCTTTAGCTTCAAACACAAACAGCTTCATGTTCCACTGGGATGAACTAAAGCCATAGAAGGAAATCTGTATTTAAAAGAACAGATTTAGTGATTTGTTGGTCTGGAGAAGTAGAATAAATAATTCTGAGTTTTCCTTTCTGTTCTCTGCAGTGTGTGGAGTTCAACCAGGGATCCGTCACCGGAGACATGTGTGAGGACCTGTGCGTCCACGGCCTGGTGGAGTACAAGCGCTGCCTCTACTACGAGAACGGGAAGAAGGTGATCGAGGCTCACTGGAGAGGAAACCCCGTCATCCTGAAATCCAAACTGGAGAACTTCTCCTCCTACGAGCCGCTGGGGATCCTGGACTACCAGGTGACGTCTGCGCTGCTCAGACGCTTCGCTGTCTTTGGTTAAAGTCTTCTTATTCCTGCAGTTCTCTGACAGACCAACTTATGAAGTAGTGGAAAGTTTTAGACTTAAAGTTATGACCTCAGCATGACGCTGCCACCACCATGTTTTACTCAAACATTTGTGTGTCTAAGGTTAGCTTTCCATGCATACCTACAATTCATTACCGGTAGTTAAAAAAGGACGTCTATAGCTCGATAAAGCCGGGCATATACTGTATGATTTTTTTTCGTTGCATTGTACGATGAAATCGCAGGGTTCACATCTCACTATGTATGTTCAAACACTGTGACACTGCGATCTACCTGCTCACACTGTACGACTAAAAACCACGTGTTTGTCCCCCCGGACAATTTAACTCCCTCTAGCAGTTTAATTTGTAAATGTTTGTTAGATTTTGTGTTGCTGTGTGACGATAACCTGACTCCGCCGGATGGATTTGCTCCGCAGAAGTAATTTTGGGAAGGGGCGAAAATACTGGTTAGCTGATTGGCCTATGTTGGTGATAGAC